TTCCCCGCCCCCCAGCGCCGCGCGACGCGCCCACCGTGGCGTGTTCGACTTCTGCTGCCTCTCGCTCGACATGGAGTGACTNTTCGAGACCGCCGACCCCGACTTCGTACGGCGAAGTGCTCTCAGTTTCTTCCACAGTGGCCCGGAACATGCCGAACGCAGCGTCAGATATCGTTCGACCATCGTTCAACCCCCTCAATTATCATTTGTCCGAATCCCGAATAATGAACCGTTCGTTCTGTGTATGATCTCTCCGTCAGCAACCGTGGGATGGCCTTTCGTATCTCCCACTAGCCTGAGCTAAAGGAAGCAAGTAAGATCCTCCCTCGAGGGGAGGTTGAGCTCAGTTTCAATTAAATATGCCAGGATGAAGGCCGACGGACCGCGCTTGGATGGCGCAGCATCAGTGCAGCTGGAGCTGGTGCGTGCAAAAGAGCCTGCGGTGTTTGTGGAGGTTATCCGCTGGTATTGGTTCCATCTTGCTTTCTGGACACTGGTTCCATCTTGCTTATAGAGATATTGGTTCCAGCATGCGTATGGAGATATTGATTCCATCATGCATATCCGCAGGTATTGGTTCCAGCATGCCATTCCGGATAATATATATTAGGTATTGGTTCCATCTTGCTTATAGGCATATTGGTTCCAGCATGCGTATGGAGATATTGATTCCATCATGCATATCCGCGGGTATTGGTTCCAGCATGCCATTCCGGATAATATAAATAGTGATACTATCGATCAAATGATGATAGCTAATAGAACCCCTATTCGTACGACCCTCTGCGACCTCCAGGTGCTCTGGGGCAGCCCCGGCATCATTGGGGTTTTGCTTCGCTTCTTGGATCTATCGAGCATCACCTCTCTCCCAGCGTTGGCGCAGCGTTTCGCGGCGGATCACTCGCGTGTGCTTTTCATGCTCGCCCGGGCCACACCTACTCTCGAGCGACGCCTCATGGAAGTGCTGTCTGATAACGGCTACGATGCCGTCCGATTTCGGCAGCGGTGGGAAGGCCCGCTTCGTGCGAACTGGATGCGCGACGACGCGGAGCA